CCTGCCCCGGCGTTCCCGTGCTCTGCTCCAGCATTCCCGCGCTCTGCCCCGGCGTTCCCGCGCTCAGCTCCAGCGTTCCCGCGCTCAGCTCCAGCATTCCCGCGCTCTGCCCCGGCGTTCCCGTGCTCTGCTCCAGCATTCCCGCGCTCTGCCCCGGCGTTCCCGCGCTCAGCTCCAGCGTTCCCGCGCTCCGCCCCAGCGTTCCCGCGCTCTGCTCTGGCACCGCTATTGCCTGTGGTTGCCAAAACAAAAAGCAGAGACCCATGCTGGCTGTCTCCCGGCACTTGCCTGAGTGTGCTCAATTAAATAGGCTAGTGCCTATGTCATGGCCTTAGCGACAGCAGCTTGATTCTGTATATATATGGGGAGGGACAGTCCCCTTCAGATGGCAATTTACCCCGCTTAAAACCTCAGCTGCGATATTTCTATTTCCCTAGGAAGCGTAGAGCAACTACTTTCTAAGGAAAAGGCCTCATTCAAGAGCTTAGAATTAGGTGAAAAAGTTAAAGGGTGTGAGTTCAGAAGGTCCCACAACAATTATCTTTTTTCCCACTAATAAGAAACTTCTCTCACGGAGTGACATACTGCTTGGCTCAAAAGCTAGTCGTTGAGCTGGTCTTCTCACTATTTTCAGCTCTACACAAAATGGTAATGCACAGTAATGTAAATGGTTATATACGCAGTGAGGGCCCGAGGAAATGTCCCTGGGTTACTAAACGCGTGCCTGAGCACTGCAGCTGGCAGGATCAGTTCATAGGTCCAAGCAACAAAGGCAACTACTGAAATTTTTGATCTGTAAGAGTGACATATTGTGCAGTTTTCAAGAGCCTGTTTCTTTGTCAGGTTTATGAGGGTTATGGCCAAACAGAATGCACCGCCGGCTGCACCTTTACCACCCCAGGGGACTGGACATCAGGTACCTATTTCTGCCATTTCTAGAAGGAAAAGAAAGGCACGTTTCTTTAGAAAACTCTGGATTGCAATGTCGCAGGGTGTTATGCAGCATTTACTGTTGTGTGAATGATTTTTAAGCAAATGTAATGCTCTTGAAAATACTGCTAGTCCAGAATAAATACACAGGGATCAGATGTTATGCAAGTTTGCCTGAGAAGATTTGGAATTGGCCCCGGAACAATACAATTTGCAATACCCTCATCTCTGTATTCCCTGTGCTGTTAGCCTTGTCTAGATTACTAGTCTTGTTGGATTTAAGAGAATATTTTCTTATATTAAATATTAGAACAGTATTTGATTGGAACCTCAGATGAGGAGATTGCTTCTGCTCACAGGCACAGCTGCTGCAAGAACATCCAGCCTCACAAAGCGCGCCCACAGTGCGCAAGCCACTAATAATAAAACACTCATTATTGTTTATAGGAGAGATGACCAATGATTTACTAACTTTGATTTCCAGGTCACGTAGGAGCCCCTTTGCCCTGTAATTTGATCAGATTGAAGGATGTGGAAGAGCTGAATTATTTTGCTTCCAAAGGAGAAGGAGAGGTAAGAAGTCACGTTTCTGTATAAAGTTCTTGGTAGTTAACACTGTACAGGGCTGCAGCGATAGCAGCATCTTAGCTTTTTAAGGAGCGTGGTTGTGGAGGTATTACGCATGACAGTCAGCACAGGTAAACTGCGTTCAGCAATAGAGCAGCAATGCATCAACTAACCAGGGGACGTAACAATACTTCCACCTATTGCTACGTCTGATTACTTTAAAAGCTCTCAACTAAGGACAGCTGAATTGCTGCTATTTCCACATTGCTGTTAGTTCTACATTGCCCAGAAATTAAACTTCCTGGAATAACTTGCTTTGTCTGTAACTGCAAGCTGAACGAAAATCAACTTCGAACAAGTCAGTTTTGTATTCCCTGCTTCATACATCCATTAGTGTGAAAAAAATCTCTAGGGAGTTTTGTACTTGATGTGTTTTAAGTTTCACCGAGCACAGTCATTATGAAATCAATAACGAAAATATTTAAATTGTAATGAATTACTGTTTAACTTGTTATTAATTATGGCAGCGTAGTAAAGTAATTTATTAGCATCTCGGCCTATTTTGCAGATATGCGTGAAAGGACCAAACGTTTTCAAAGGTTATCTGAAAGACGAAGAGAAGACAACCGAAGCGTTGGACGAGGAGGGCTGGCTTCACACGGGAGACATTGGGAAATGGTTGCCTGTGTGTACTGATCGCATGCTCAGTTCTTACGTAACTTGTATCATCTCCTGTAAATTTTCAAGTATTGAACTTAAATTTTGAAGCAAATGCATCTTTACAAATGAGTTTATTTTGTGTGGACTAAGCTCAGTATGTCAGTGGCCAATTCTTTTTTACAAATGGGTTTATCTTTCACAGAATAAGCTCCATACGTCAGTGAAGCATTTTCGGGCAGTTTAAACAGCTCTCCTGACTACCAGGGTTTCATTCTTTTGTCCAGATATTACTGACTATAAAAGAGGATATTTTGCAATTGGAAATGCCATTTGTTTTAAGAAACGATTTTATAGGAAACGCTTCTGCTAATCCATTTTTGAAATGAAAAGTGTTTACATGTTGCTGAACAACTTGCCACTAACACACCTGGTTTCTTGTTTTCAAATGCATAAAAAATTGCGTTCACGCTCGTTCTTGCTTTGGGTGCTGCACACGTGCTGGTAGTGGGGTGTATTTCTCGGCTCTATCATTGCCTCTTTAATGAAATGGCAGGTGGAGAAAGCGGGCTGTATGCTGAGTCTCTGTGGTGGAATAACTTCTCTGGGAACTCTCATTTCTCTCTCCTACCAGAATGGGACTCTTAAAATTATTGATCGGAAAAAGCATATATTTAAACTCGCTCAGGGAGAATATATTGCACCGGAGAAGATCGAGAATATCTATATCCGCAGTGACCCTGTTGCGCAGATATATGTCCATGGAGACAGCTTGCAGGTAAAAGTTAACCTCTCAGAAAATCTTAACTGCTTATTCTTTGCTTCTAAAACTGCTCAGATGATTAATGTAAGACAAAGAGCTGGGCAGGAACAAGGGGAACATGCGAGTGGAGCGTGCCACGTTTGTTGTCCGGATGTCTCTTTGCTGCTCTCGGCAGCTCTCTACAGTTCTCCTTTGCCATGGTCACCCTTCGGGTCCCTACAGCTCTCTTTTGCTGTGGTCGCCCTTCGGGTCTCTACGGCTCTCCTTTGCCATGGTCGCCCTTCGGGTCCCTACAGCTCTCCTTTGCCATGGTCGCCCTTCGGGTCCCTACAGTTCTCCTTTGCCATGGTCGCCCTTCGGGTCCCTACAGCTCTCTTTTGCTGTGGTCGCCCTTCGGGTCTCTACGGCTCTCCTTTGCCACACTGCCTGCAGCTAACCTGGCAAAGGCTAAGCTGCCACTGCTCAGTGACCACTGCCTCCCTGTTTTGGCCAATCTCACCCCATTTTTCCCTGGAGCTCGCTCACAGGATTGCAGCCATGTGTTGGTCCTGTTCATGGGCAGGAGGCCCTGTGCCAGTGGCACCTATGCACTGTGCTGCAGAAAGGGCAGATTTAGGCCCTTACTGATACCGTAGACTATGAAGCCATGAATTTTTAGAAGCAGAAGAGCTCTAGGAGAAAGTGTGAGAGTTGCAGGGTAGATCCCGGGGGTGGTTGTCGCTCCAGGCGAGGAGGAATTGAAGCCCTTGAGTACCGGAGGGCTGCCCAGGGCACTGGGGCCGCTTGCTCCAGGCTGCGCCACGGTCTCGTGGCGTGAAGACAGCCAGCCTGCAAAGCCCAGTGTGCGGAGGTCTCCGCGGGAGCAAATTCGGCAGGGTTAATCACTCACTTCAGTGAAGTGCCTTAAATGGCGTTCAGTCTTCAGCCGACACTCGTTTTCCTTCACCCGCAGGCCTTTCTGGTAGGAATTGTGGTACCCGATTCGGAAGTTATGCCAGGCTGGGCAAAGAAAAGAGGATTTGATGGAACGTATGCAGAACTCTGCAAAAATAAGGTTTGTCTTTGTATCTATGTGCAATACAGGCATTTTTTTCCACTCTAGCGTAACCTAGTTAAAGTCAGCCTTTGTTCTTAATGATCCCAGTGACAAGAACTATTTCTTCACGGAAAATTAACCTCGTTAGAGCAATCTCTTAAGCAGGATTGACCTGGATACAGTGACGTGTGCCGGCTGTCGCGGCAGAGCTCTGGGCTGGCCGCAGCGGTGTCGTCACTGCCGTGGGCCGGCAGGGAGCCGAGTTCCCGCGCAAGGAAACCGGGATATGAGGAACACTCACCCAGGCCCCATTAAAGGCCCGTTACGGTGAAGTTCGGCAACACCCCCTTGTTTGCACGTTAAATTACCTGTTACCTGTAATACCAAGAAATGATAGCTATGTAACAAACATACGCTCAGAGAAAAAGCAAAATGAGCAAGGCATGTCTAAACTCCCTAACTTGTTCCTGTTTGTATAGATTCAGTAATCGTTGGCCAAGGAAAGATTCATCTTTATTTCCCTGACAAATGATTAGACCTTTTCCTAGCACAAAGTCTGTACATTTTTTAAATCTCATGAAAAACAACTCTCTCCAGGTTTTGGTGAATTCAATTAATGATATAATAGGAATTAGTATAAAAATGGCAAATTATAGAATTTATACCAAACTGAATAACCGCCTTCAGTCTTGTTATTGAACACTGATGCCGTGGAGTCTTCCTGCTGGCATAGAGGAGAAACAGTTCTGCATCTAAGAGCGTGGCAAATGGTTGAAGGACTGTGAATTTAAACATTTAGCATTTGCCCTCCGCATTTGAAAATAGTAGCCTTACTCTTCATCCTGCGGAAAGAGGAGTTAGCATCATCACAATTGCTAGAAATCTTTTAATATTAAATATTTGCTAATTATATATTACCTGTTAATAATGCGCTTGAACTTTACTCAGAAAAGTGTTTTCTTGGCGACCAATGCTATTTTTAGCATGTGAAGTTTGTCTCTTGGTATTTCATGGAGGATTTGTGTGTTTTAACCCAGGAACTGCAGCAAGCAATAATGGAAGATATGGTACGGTTAGGTAAGGAGAGCGGACTTCACTCCTTTGAGCAGGTAAAATGAAACACCTAACACATTATGCAGTGTGGCCAGACGTGCATTTTGTCTGTTTATAGTGAATGGAGATTTGTTAGCACTTATTATTCTCATTGTAGCTACATTTCTAGAAAAGAGCTTTAAAGCTGGCAAGTTTTATTCGTTCCTTTGAAGGAGATACAGTGTGATTCTGCCTTCCACTCATGCTGGAAATTTGAATTAAATTTGGTGGAAGTCTTAGGTGCAGAGGTAAAAATCCACTCCAGGGACACGGGTAGTCTCTGTAGTCTCTGTGGTCTGATAACCAGTGGGCAAGATCAATCTCTGCAGGGCTCTGACTCTTCTCCCATTGAAAGCACTCTAAGAAATTGGGTCTTTAATTACCATTCTTACAGGTGACACAGGAAATGCTGTTGTTTTATTTATTTTCAGTCTGTGCACTGATCCTTTCCTGTGCTTTGTAAATATTTCTGCAGAGGTCCCCCTCTTCAGAGCTACAGACGCTTCAGAGGGTGAGACCTGCAATCAACATTATACCTCATAGCATTGCAAACAAAGTAAAAAAAAAAAATCACAATTTGAATGTAAAATACTTATTGTGCTTGTGTTAAAAATGAGTATCGTAAGAAATAATCATTTAAATGTAATTATCAAGGGGCTGTTTTAGTTTTATTTGGACTGTTTCTGTACAGTAATTCTGATGAGTAATTCACCATATTTGAGTGATGCAGAAGCACTATTAAACTTAAACCTGTTGTTCTTCATTTCCCTGTGATGCATGAAAATGAAATGATATTCAACAGAAATGAATTTTAAAATGAAACTCAGTACAAAGCATGGTTCGTAGTGCACATAACTGTCTGTGTTAATCAGCCTGGTTTGCTCCTGCCGTAGTCTTCACAGCATGAAATATTCTCAACTAATCGATTCGGCTAGCATTTTGCAATTAATGAAGTAGTGAGGAAAGCTTTGCCATCTTCCAAAAAGTCAAGGGGAAATGTTCTACATTTCAAAAACAAAGGGCTTTAAAACTGGATCTCTGTTGCAATAGGTAATCTTAAATGCTAACACTGAGCTAGACATTATGGCCAGTATTTGTATGGATTGGGACTCCCTTTACGCGGCAGAGCTGCACTGTCTCAGCTTCGCGCCTGCCTGCAGCGCCCGAGGCCTGAGCTTGGACCTCTGGCTTCAAAAGGACAGTTTTCTTGCTTCTGTGCCCAACAGTGTCTAGGGTGCAGACTCGCTGAAAGCCAGTGCTGCAGGCAGAGAAAGCGCTAATCGTCCCAACACTGATTTTTAGGAAGGGTGTTAGCAGTGCTTGCAGAGGAAAAAGGAGCATAATCTGATGGGAATTTAAGAACTGCTTCTCCACCCATATTCCTGCAACTCCCAGTCTACCAAAATGCAAATACAGACTGGGTTGGGGATCAAGAGAGCAGCAGGCGGCTGGGGAGTTTTCTCCAGACTCTGCGGACGGTGACCGGCCGTGCAGCAGCTCCAGCCTGC